GCCCTGCACACGCTCTCGCGCCCGGGCTTTAGGTATTTGGGCGTTTTATTGGAGTCTCGGAGTTGCTCTGCTTTGAGTTTATTTTCTCTACCTTGTAGGCCCAGGAGGAGGGGGATGAAAAGGAGGAGGAGGACAGACTGGGTAGGGGCGAGTGCCCCGCGGCCCGGCGAGGTGGCGTGCGCGGCAGGACGCGGACGGCTCGCGGCCCAATGGCTGCTCTCGGGCCGGGGGCCGATGGAGGGAGGAGCGGAGAAGGAGCAGGAGGGGAGTGCAGCCGGATCGGGGCTGGGGCGTTGGGACCCGGGAGCCTCCGCCGGCCGGAGCCACTCTCCTCCGGGACAGCGCGCCGAACACAAAGGGGCTGAGGAGCCCAAGTCCTGAGCGGCCCCGGGACGCGACGGGGAGAGCGCAGCGAGGGGGCGCTGTAGCGCGCCCCGCCCCTAGCCCGCCCCGGCCCCACCCCGCTCCCACCGCCCCCTCCGCGGCGTCCCCAACCTCTAACTGCGTCCCTACACCTACTCCGGTCTCTTGGCAGCGGTGACTTTTCCTCGAAACACTGCTGCTGGGAGACGGGAGCCCGAAGGGAGAGGGCTGGAGGAATGCGCTCTCCTACCATCCTATTTGTGCGCTGTGAGTGGACAGCTGTCCGATGGACCGGAGCTGCCCTCCTAGAGGTGGATGGGCTGTGAGAGTCGGCCCCTGTTGTCTCTCTCTTGCTTCCAGCCAGGCACCTCCCGTGATCCGTGCACCACTGGGGGCTTGGGAAGGCTAATGCTACCTTGGGGAAAAAGCAAAAGACCACAGGAACGACTCAAAGCACACGATCGAGCTAGTCGGAAAGCAGGCGGGTTTGCTAGCTGCCTTTCGTGGATATTTTGTCTTTTTAGAGATGGACCCCAGTAATAACTCTCGGCAGACCTACAATCAGCCTTCCCATGTCACTTGTCGCTAAGTAGGATGAGGAAATTTTACTAGCCAGGAGTGGAAACTTGTGACTTTGTGTCTTCTGGTGGCTGGGACATTTTGGAATTTCTTGGAGGCTCCCAACAGATTTCATCCCTGGGCCTCTGTTCTTGGTGGGAAGTCCAAACAGGTGTGGACAATGGTTATTTACTTTTCCAAGAGGTTCCCTGAGTGAGACACTTTGCTGTTGTCTACTAACCTAAAGGTTCAAACTCACTATATATCACCCTGGAATAAAGGCCTGGCAAACCACTCCCCTAAGAGCCCAACTAAAAAAAAAACCCTATGGGCAGTTCTACTCTGTAACATGTGGGGTCCCCATGAGTAGGAACTGACTTGAAGATAATAGGTTTAGGTTGTTTAGTACGTTTTCCCAGGAAGGAGCTTCCCAGCATATTAGGGCCCGAGACCCTGAAAAAGACCCTGGAAGTAGTTAATCTGTTTTACTTATCTCTAACACCAAGGAAGATACTAATAACAGTTTGACATCCTGCACATCCTTCTAGTACAGGTGCATTGTGAACTGCTCTGTGAAACTTTCTCATAGACTGGTTGTTTCCTCTGCAGTTGAGGGCATCAGTCACCTACAAGCAGAGATATTTGGAAAATAATCTATGAAGACAGCATAAAACCAAAAGCCAAACTCAATGCCATCGAGTCACTTCCTACTTAACACTGCCATCGGGTTTCCAAGGCTGTAAATCTTCACAGATTTTAGACAGTCTCATCTTTCTTCAGTGGACTAGCTGGTGGGTTCCGACTATGGACCTTTCGGTTAACAGCCAAATGCCTTAACCACTACACCACCAGAGCTGCCTATGAAGACAGCATAAGAAGTGATAAAATTAACATTGTTAGGGAGAGTGTCTATGCATGATTTCCATAGGAACTGTTGGTTTGCACTGCACTCCTCTACATCATCTTTCTCTCAAGCCACTATTTTGTTCCCTTCAACTTTTTAATAAGAAAAAAAATTCTGCTTTCTCTTTACTTTCAACATTGAAATGGTAGGAGGGGAGTGTGGGGAAAAGGAGACATAAGGAAAAAGAATTCCTTAGAGAAACCTCCATATTCATGAGAGTCCTTCAAGGCACAAAATGCAATAATAAATAGAAACTAAATTCTTTCTCTTAATAAAGGTCTTTATAATGAAAGCCAACTGAAGTTTTGTGGTTTGTAACATAACCTTCCAAAATTTATTTGTAAATGTTAAAATGTGCCAATATGTATTTTCTTCCACAATAAATTCTTAAAAAGCCTTTTAAGTTTAAGTTAAAGGCTTTAAAGTTTAAATTTCTGTCATTAATCCAACATCTATCACCAACATATTACCTTATTTCAAAACTTGATTTTAAAAAATTCCCTTAGAATCCATAATTGGTTTCTATTTAATGATCCTAGGAGCATCAGGAGCATGATATGAAATGATTGAGGGCTGCATCTATATTATTAACATCTCGGAAGCTGGGGGAAGATAAGATGTCTCCCTGCCACTTTACCTTGAGAGAAAGCACAAATGCATGAAACCTGTGTATCCCTCTACTTAATCAAGCATCTGGTTTCTTCCATCTGGAGTCAAAGTGGTATGCTTGCATGTGGCATGGTATGATGGGTTAGATGAAACTCAACTCCACTTATTCATCCATAGAGAGATTATCTCTCCATGAAGGTTATCTCAGTGTGATCCAGAAAAATGCTTTCTTTATAATGTTCCACTTGTAGGCCCATCATACATTGAGTGGGTATACATACTTCTACCAAAAAAAAAAAAATTGAGGAAAGTTGAGTAGTAAACCTCCAGGTAAACCTTAATAATTTAGAATATAAAATAATAGAGAGGCATTGTACTATGTTTTATTTTTTAGAATGTACAACTCCATATTCTGGCTAAATTTATTCATCTATTTATTTGTCCATTCATTACATACATTTGTATATTATTCAACAAATACATATTGAGCAGTATGAAACAGTTATATGCTGTGTATAGGTCTTAAATATAAAAATCAAGTATATATAAACTGTACATGCTTTAGATAAATGTGTAGTCTTCTAGAGCACTAATTTTTAATGATCACTGGAAACAAAGTTACCTTAGCATCTTCAAAAAATACTCATGACTGCGCCCTACCCCCCAACCCACTGCTGTTGAATCAGTTCCACCAAAATCAACCCTGTAGGGCAGAGGAGAACTGTGTTGTAGGGTTTCCAAGGCTGTTTACAGAAGCAGACTGCCACATCTTTATCCCATAGAGAAGCTGGTGGATTTCAAACACATTAGAAGTCAAGTGTTTAACCACTTCACCAACAGGGCTGCAGACCCAACCCCCAGTTGTTGTTAGTTGTCCACAAGTGAGTTTCAACTCATACTGATCTTATGTATAACAATGAATTGTTTAGCCATCATCCTCTGCCATCCTCACAGTAGTTGATGTATTTGATTCCATCATTATAGATTCTGTATGAAAATTCATTTCATTTCCCTCTTTTTTCCTGACTCTCCACTTTACAAATTATGATGTCTTTTCTAGCAATTGGTCTTTCCTGATGACAGGTCAGAAGTAAGTAAGATGAAGTCTAACCATTCTCACTTCTAAGGAGCAATCTGGCTGTGCTTCCTCCAAGACTGATCTATTCCAGATAGTCTCATTTAATTCATCTAGGGTGGGGCCTGGGGCATTGGGATTTTAAAGAGATTGAGAGTCATTGGTCTTGAAAGATAAAAACCAAAACCAAATTCACTGCTATCGAGTCAATTAGACTCATAGCAACCCCTCCTTGGTTTTCCAAGGTGGTATCTCTAAGGAAGGAGATCATCCAGTCTTCCTTCTGAGGAGTGACTGGTGGATTTGAACTGCCAGTCTTCTGGTTAGCAGTCAAATGCCTTAGGCACTACACCACAAGAGCTCCTAGAAAGAAAGAAAGATAAGATGGACACAAAAAGAATGTTCAAACTATAAAATTTTAATGAATAGGCTAGATGGTAATATTTTCTTAGTTCTCACAAGGGCCATTAATGATCAGCATCTCAGAACCCTATCATCTGCACTACCCTTTAAGAGATTGATGTTGGCCATTTATAATTGATTTTGGCCAGTTACTCTAACTAAACATGCATGAATTGATGTACAAGTCTAAATTACAATTTATTCATCCAATTAAGACACTTTATATACTCTAATGATTAGAAAACTTGTATCCATGAACAAAACACCATACTTAATAGTAATGGATGTAATAATATCAGTTGTTTTTGTTAGCTGACTTTGAGTTAGCCTCCAATTAATGGCTACCCCATGCACGATGCAATTCAGACTGTTGTGATCCATCGAGTATTCATTGGCTGATTTTTGGAAATAGATTACAAGGCCTTTCTTCCTAGTCCATCTTAGCCTGGAAGCTGTGCTGATATCTGTTCAGCATCATAGCAACACGCAGGCCTCCACTGACTGCCCAAGAGGTGCATTGGCTGAGAATAGAACCAGGGTCTCTTGTATGGAAGGCAAGAATTCTACCACTAACCCACCAGTGCATTCAATAGTCAATAACTACCATTTATGGAAGGCCTACTATGCCATAGACCTGGTCTTATTTCTTTGCACATAATTTCATTGTCTCATTTAGTTTCACAAATTACTTTGGAAGATTTAACCAATAAGTACAAACCACAATCAGTG